CTGGACTGCTGAGGTGTTCTTCCCACCACAGGAATGTTGAATGTTATTATATTATGGTCACTATTTCCATGTGGTCCTGTGACGGTTATTTATTGGACCTGATCCTGCACTCCACTCAGGACTAAATCGAGAATTGCCTCTCCCCTTGTGGGTTCCTGCACCAGCTGCTCCAAGAAGCAGTCATTTAAGCCATTGAGAAATTTTATCTCTGCTTCTCTTCCTGAGGTGACATGTATCCAGTCAATATGGGGGTATTTAAAATCCCCCATTATTATAGAGTTCTCTATTTTGGTAGCCTCTCTAATCTCCCTCAGCATTTCAATGTCAGTATCGCTGTCCTGATCAGGTGGTCGGTAATAAATCCCTACTGCTAATTTCTTATTATTGGAGCATGGAATTACTATCCATAGCGATTCTATGGAACATGTTGATTCACTTAATATTTTTATTTCATTTGATTCTACATTATCTTTCATGTACAGTGCCACTCTGCCACCCACCAGGCCTGCTCTATCCTTTCTATATATTTTATATCCCGGTATGATTGTATCCCACAGATTTTCCTCATTCCACCAGGTTTTAGTGATGCCTATTATGTCAATCTCCTCATTTAATACGAGGTACTCTAGTTCACCCATCTTATTAGTCAGACTCCTAGCATTTGTGTACAAGCACTGTAAAAATTTGCCACTGCTTATTTGCACTGCACTTATTTGACCAATAACTATTAAATCATTGCAGCCAAACTTTATCAAACCTGGCTTTAGAAACCTCTAAGGACATAGATTCTACTACCTCCCTAGGAAACACATGCCATTGCTTCACCCCCCTATCCCTCAATGAAATAGTTTTTTCCTAATGTCCAAACTAGACATTCCTCAGATTGCCTGCTGCTTGGCTAGAGCATTGGCCTGAGCTCCGAGACTTTGTTGCCACGCCCTGGGCTAGGGCCACAGCAAACAGACTGCTATCTGGCCTGAGGACTTACTCATTGTCATATTCTTTTTAAAAGCTTATTATGGCTGTTTGCTCTTGAAATTCTATTTTCGCATTTCCAATTTCCATCTTACACAGTTGTCTTTCCATAGGCTGTTTTAGGTTCTTTTCTACCATCTTTTCCTGCCATTAAAGCAATATGCTAAAAAAACAAACAAAAACAGAATACACAAAACAGATGTGCATCATTGCTTCTCAGATGCAATCATAGGAAATTGACTGTCCACTTACTAATAGAAATTGTTGGAACTATCCTACCAATACACACGTCATCAATAGCTAAAACTTTTATTTGTTATCCCTAGAACTCTGAAGAGATGGATGAAGGTTAGAACTAAAATGTAACATATTCAATGTGAATGCAGTTAATAAGAGTATTTTTAGTATTAATGAACTTTAGTTTCAGATTATATGGCAAAGTTTAAGTGTGAGTTGTAAAATCAGCATTATTACTTTTTATCTGTGAAACAATAATCTCTTTTTTGATGATTTTCTAAATTATGCAGATAATGATTATAAAGTGCAATTTAGCCACCCACATTTTAAAAATTTGTCCCAAGGAATCCCAAGTAAGCCAACCTCCTATAAAGCAAAACTTGCACCAAAATAATGTTATGATAACCCAGGATTCATTTTTAAGTAGAGATCTGTATTATCTAACATACCACAAGCAAAGAAACCCCCTTATCTCTAAGTGTCCTTAAACAGCAAAGTAACAAAGAATGCTTGCTTCTCTCTGCTGTTCTTAGTGAGACTGGACTTTAGATAATAGAGTACTGTAGATTCTACAGTATACAGGACAAGATGTACAAGTTAAATTTAAAGAACAAATCATGCAAAGAGAATTACTATCTGAAAGGGAAATTGAACTAGAAAATTTAGTTTCTTAACTAGGCTCAATAACCTGTAACATTTTGGAATTATTTTAATCTCTTGATCATATGGGTTTCAGTAAACTTCTTCACCAACAAGTACAGAATCCTGCAATCTTTTGTCAGTCAATGGTTTTGTTTTATTATTCCCACCATACAGCAGATTTACCTTTCAATGCTGCTAGATTCTTCCATGGCAACTTCCCTGAAATCCATCAGCTTCTTTTGAAGGGTATGTGCAATATCCTTAACAAGTGAAGCTTTGTGCTTACCTATTCGAAATAATGTTAAAAATAAATAAGTCTGCATATTCCTGTATAGCATCTATACAACAAATGAAGTTTTTAACAAACTGGTGACATTTACTTACCCAGGTTAAGTGTATAAAATCATGCTATGTACATGCTATTTTTATTTCAGAAGGTGAAGAAAGCTACTAGGGGAGAAGCTATTCTAGATTTTGACAAACAGGGACAAACTAATTAAGAATTTGAAAGTGGGAGCCACCTTGGGTGAAAGTGATCATGCAATGGTAAAGTTCATGATTCTAAGTAAGGAATGGCAGGAAAGAGAATAGCAAAATAAAGACAACTGATTGGGAGTTGGTAGGGAAGGTTCCATGGGAAACAAGTCTAAGAGGAAAAACTAACTGAAGACAGTTGGCAGTCTCTCAAAGAAACATTATTATGGGTACAATAGAAAACTATTCCATCACACAGGAAAGACAGGAATATGGCAAGAGACCATTCTGGTTTAACCAGGAGATCTTGAATGATCTTAAAAAAAAAGTCTTAAGAAAGTGGAAACTAGGTCAAATTACAAAGGACAAATAGAATCAAGATAGATAAGTAGGGGCAAAATTAGAAAGGACAAAGCACAAAAATGAGATCAAACTAGCATGTTCCTTCTGTTTACTAGGGGTCTCTTGATGAGTAATCCCCTTTTCAGTTGCTTGGGGATTAAAGGCTTTGTTGGAGAGGAGAATTCTTAATCTGAACTCCCTGTCTTTTCACGCCCTGGTTGTGAGGCTGCAATAGTGCAAGCATTTTTAGGGATGTGTGCCTCACCCAAGCATCGAATACAGGACCCGTGGCTGTCCGAAATGGCATTGGATCGCAACACTTGTCACATTTCTTAAACCTGAGTGAACTGGGCATTGGTTTTTTTTTGTTTGTTTGTTTGTTTTTTAAACAAGGTTTAACTTGGTGCTACCTTAATCTCTCAGTGTGGGGGCCATTTGAGGCCCAGTTTTGCTGTGGCGTTTCTCAATGGGTTGAGGGGAAACTATTTACATCAAGTCTTTAAAAAAAATAAATAAATGACTGAACCAAGAAACTCTATATAACAGAAAGGATTTATAAACTGACTAATTAAATCTGTTCTTGTTCACAGGAAAGGAAGCGGAGAAGAGGGAGTGAGCTCTGTCTGCGACCAAGGGTAGAAGGAACTGAGGAGAGTCAGACCGCATGTGTGATCTCCAAAGGTGTGAATGGCAGGCACCCTGCCACATTTGAGTGGCCCGACCAGATACTGAAGGAAAAATCTCCGATTTGCGGTCCTGGGATTAGCCAATCATCAACAGAAGAGTACCCACGGGGACATTACTCAAGGAAGAATCAAGAAAACGTTCTACAAACATTAGAAGCAAGAGGAAGACTGAGACCAAGGACAAGGTAGGCCCATTACTCAGTGAAGAGGGAAAAACAATAGGCAGGTGTGTAATGATTTGTTTCAGTTTTCACCAAGGTGGTCTGTGGTAATTAGATGCCTAACTAGCGAATTCCAGTGAAATGGAGTAGGATCAGAAGCTAAAATAGGGAAAATACAAGTTAAAAATTACTTAGATAAGTTAGATGTCTTCAAGTCACCTGGGCTTGATGAAATGCATCCTAGAATACTCAAGGGGCTGACTGAGGAGATACATGAGCAATCAGAGATTATCTTTGACTAGTCATAGAAAACGGGATAGACTGGAGAATGCTAGAAAAGGGCAATTATAATTCCCATCTATAAAAAAGGGAAATAAGGACAACCTAGGGATTTATAGACCAGTCATCTTAACTTCTGAAGCATGAAAGATAGTGGAACAAATAATTAAGGAATACATTTTCAAACATCTAGAAGATAATAAGGTGATAAATAATAGCATGGATTTGTCAAGGACAAATCACATCAAAGCAAACTAATAGCTTTCTTTGACGAGGTAACAAGCCTTGTGGATGGGGATAAGTGGCAGACGATGTATATTTACACTTTAGTAAGGCTTTTGATACAGTCTTCCATGACCCTCTCATTAACAAACTATAGAATTACATCCTAAATGGAGGGAACTATTTAGAAGGTGAGTGTGCTGGATAACTGCTCCCAGAGAGTAGTTACCAATGGTTCATAGTCATGCTAAAAAGGCATAACGAGTGACATTGCTTTCTGGGTCCTATTCTGTTCAATATCTTCATCAGTGATTTAGATAATAGCATACAGTACATTTATAAAGTTTGTGGATGATACCAACTTATGAGAGATCTCAAGAGCTTTGGAGGATAGGGTTAAAATTCAAAATGATGTGGTCAAACTGGAGAAATAGTCTGAAGTAAATAGGATGAAATGCAATAAGGACAAATGCAAAGTATTCCACACTGGGGAAGGAACAGTGAGAGTCAACAGCATAACAGTGCTGCAAAAGAAGCGAATATCATTCAGTGGTGTATTAGCAAAGTGTTGTAAGAAAGAAATGAGAAGTAATTCTTCTGCTCTTCTCCATGAGGATTAAGTCTTGACTGGAGTTGCGTGTCCATTCTGGGCACCACAAATTGGAAAAAGTTCAGAGATGAGTAACAAAAACGTTTGAAGGTCTATTGAACTTGACCTATGAAGGAAGATTGAAAGAACTGGGTTTGTTTAGTCTGGAAAAGAGAAGACTGAGAGGGAACATAACAGTTTTCAAGTAGCTAAAATGCTGTTATAAGGAGGAGGGAGAAAATTATTCTCCTTATCCTCTGATGATAGGGAAAGTAGTACAGGCAGTCCCCGAGTTACGCGGATCCGACTTATGTCGGATCCGCAGTTACGAACGGGGCCCTTCCTCTCCCTGGTCTCCAGCAGACCAGGGAGAGGAAGCAAAGCGGCGGAACACGCGGGCAGCGGACATGTTAGACTGTCAGATAAAGATTTTAAAAACTCACAACATTTTCTATGGAATATCTAACAATATTCCTTACAACTTTTGTAACATTCCAAACAATTCCTTTCAATTTCTCTTTTTAATGCTGTATTCCTATAAAAATTACTACTTCTGAATTTCCACATCTAATTGAAAAAATATTCTAAAAATGTTAAAATCAAGTTGGATTAAAACATAGTATTCACAAAAGCCTTCATTAGATACAAAATTAGTTTGACTGACCTTTGATTATAACAACTATGTATGCAGCAGCTGTAATACTAATAATTCCTTCAATTTCCTCACAGATAATGCATTCCATTAATTCATTTAAAAATGACCTAGAAGAAAAGTAAAGGCACAAGGGGAAATATGTTCTATTAAAAACATAAATAGAAGTTTTAGCTGGCCCTACTTCCCTCTCCCGTAACAATGGTGGTTCTCTAAATCATTATATGGGAAACCATGATCAACCATGAGACTCCAAAACACATAGTTTAAAGCCTCATCTACACTACACTACATAGCTAGAGTGAATATGGCTTACATCTACTTTCCGAAGTGTTTACACCATGCTGCATCAACAGGAGATGCTCCCCTGTAAACTTACCTTACTTCTCTCATTCTGGTCGACTGTGTCTAGACTGGCCAGTTTTTCCGGAAAATCAGCCGCTTTTCCGGAAAAACTTGCCAGCTGTCTACACTGGCCGCTTGAATTTCCGCAAAAGCACTGACTTCCTACTGTAAGAAATCAGTGATTCTTGCGGAAATACTATTCTGCTCCCGTTCAGGCAAAAGTCCCTTTTGCGCAAAGCTTTTGTGCAAATGGGCCAGTGTAGACAGCTCAGATTTGTTTTCCACAAAAAAGCCCCGATCGCGAAAATGGTGATCGGGGCTTTTTTGCGGAAAAGCATCCATGCCAATCTAGACTCTCTGTTCTGAAAATGCTTTTAACGGAAAACTTTTCCGTTAAAAGCATTTCCGGAAAATCATGCAAATCTAGACACAGTGGAGTACTGGAGTTGACCAGAGTGCTGTGTGGTCAGTTTAGCAGGTCTTCACTAAACTCACTAAATTGACCCTTGCCACCTGGATTCCAGCAGTGTCGATCTCTGGTAAGTGTAGGAATCTCAAATGAACTTTGAGATTAAGTGTGGGAATCTTAAGTGTGGGAATCTCAAATGAACTTCTTACAGAGGATTGTGAATAGGCTCATTTCTGGAGCTTCACTGCTTACAGTTTTAGAGGAAACAATGTGTTTTGTATAGTAGTGGCAACTTAGGAATGGAATAAGGGAATTCAGATGAAATTATTTGTATGAGAAGAAGAGGAGCAGAACCCAAAAATTAAGATTTTTGCGGTGTATTTGGAAAAGAAAAAAGCCCATAGAAGTTAAAACTAATGGCTCTAAAATAAACTGGAATTGTAACTCATTTAATACTCTGCCATTTCCTATAGAAGTCAAATAAGTTGACGGTGTGAATCAAACCTCTTGGTAGTTCTCTACAAATCTCAGATATTAGAATGCTTTAGAGAAGCAGCAGAGGTTACTTGGGCTCTGGTGGAACTGGAGTCAATCAGTATATCCTGAACCAAGCAGCTCCAAACTTACTATCATATAGAAATTTCTAATACAGTCCAAAACTCATTTAAGTATTATTTGTATTAACATAGCACTCCTGAGTGTCAGTCATCGACTCCATTGTTCTAGATACTATACAGATAGAACACTTGATGAGTTTATGATCTAAGCAAAAGATAAAAAATGAGTTAAGACTTCCTATTCTGAAACTGCATAGGTAGCTCCAACACTGTGTTGCAGAAGGGAGTTCATTTCCTTTCTTAGGGTACGTCTAGACTACATGCCTCTGGTGACAGAGGCATATAGATTAGGCTATCGGACATAGTAAAATGAAGCGGCGATTTAAATAATTGCCGCTTCATTTAAATTTACATGGCTGCCGCGCTGATCAGCTGTTTGTCGGCTCAGCGCAATAGTCTGGATAGTCTGGAAGCATCCCAGGAGGCATACCTGGGTGGTCGACAAATACCTTTGATGTCGGCAGGGGAGCGTCCAGACTATCGCGCTGAGCCGACAAACAGCTGATCAGCGCGGCAGCCATGTAAATTTAAATGAAGCGGCGATTATTTAAATCACCACTTCATTTTACTATGTCCGGTAGCCTAATCTGTCGCCAGAGGCATGTAGTCTAGACGTACCCCAAGTGACACCTTTGGAGAGAAATCCCTGGAAACAGACGGGAAACAGAAAAGGATAGGGAGGGAATAGAACTTAATGGTGTATAGCCCTATAATCTTGGACCAATTGCTCTTGGAAATCTGGTCCAGAATTTTGACCACACCATCAAACCTGCTGATGTACAATGTATGAGTCTCCACTTCTGGTACATCTCTCTCTTCCTTGGAGATCTTTGCTGGCCATGATAGGGTTAGAGGAATTGCTTACATCTCCCATCATTCTGAGGCTGCCTACATTGCTTCCTCATGGAAGAAAAAACAGGCTTCCACAGCATAAGATGGCTTGAGTCCTTTAACATGTGCAGAGCTTCATTATTAGTAGGGCCCTAACAAAGTCTCAGTCCATTTTAGTCATTTTCACAGACACACAGTTTTAAAATAATAAATTTTGTTATTTCAGTTATTTAAATCTGAAATGTCATGGTTTTGACTGAAAGGTTACTGTGTGGGGTTGTGTGCGCAGTAGCGCTACCCTTACTTTTCCACTGCTGCTGATAGCAGTGCTGCCTTCAGACTGAGCAGCTGGAGTGCAGTGGCTAGGAGCCCACCTCTGAAGACAGAGCCACGCCAGCAGCAGCACAGAAGAAAGGCATGGTAGGATATTACCACTGCTGCCTGCAGAGTTTGGCCCTCAGTCAGCATCTACCACTTTGGCCACCCAGCTCTAAAGGTAGCAACACAGAAGTAAATGTTGCAATACTCTACCATTCCTTCCTTACTTCTGTGTTGCTGCTGGTGAAGGCTCTGCCTTCAGAACTGGTATGGTATGGTATTGCCACCCTTAGTCCTGCACTGCTGCTAGCAGTGCACTGCCTTCAGAGCTGGGAAACTGGCCAAAAGCCACTTTCCAGTTACTCAGCTTTGAAGGCAGCAAAGTAATGGTAGCAATACCTCAAACCCCCTAAAATAAACTTGTGACTCCTCTGCAGTTCCTTTTTGGCTCAACCCTCCCAATTTAAGTACCTTTGGTCTCCCCCATGAAATCTGTATAGTAGAGTATAAAAGCACATAAAAGATCAGATTTCACAAGAGGAGCTGAATTTTTCATGGCCATGACTTTGATAGAGCCCTAATTATTATGCTTAATTAAGAGATCAGAGACATTAAAAGTGGTAATTTAAAACCTCCTTTGGTATTCCGTAGGACTGCAATCAAGCAACCTGCATGACTGCAGTGCCAGAGGCATCAAGTTGGCTTACTGAGAGTCCATGCAACCAGATGCCACTCTAACACCAAGGACTTAAGCTCTAATCTGTGCTCCTGCAGGAACTTTTAGAAAACTGTCCAATTTAAGATGTCATATTTAGCCAGGAATAGTTAGTAATTTAATATTCATGCATCTGAAAACTGTCACCTTTCAGTCAGAAGTCAAGCTTTTTTGGAACCTTGTCCTGGAGTATTCACTTAGATAATCTCTGCTGCTTAAATATCTCTTGGACAGGTATTGGATGGTTGTAAAAAGTATTTAGCATTCTTAGAGATGGCAGCATCTACATCTGTAGTGAAGAGTCTCTTTGGGGTGAGGCCCATTGATGCTCCAGGACTCAATGTTAAGAAAGGTCCCACTTTTAAACTGTGGAAGTGGGCACTGTTGAAGCTGAGCTCTGAGGTGGGAACCACTGAAGCTGAGCTTTGCCATAAGTACCTGGGTTAGATCCTACAAGCCTTTGGCAATGCCAGTCTATCAGGGACCAAATATAGAAGATATCAAGCTGCCTTGAAGCATGAACCTTGGTTCTAAGACAGTTTCATTTGTGTCTGAAATTATTAATGGAATTGAACAGGAAAATGTAAGATATTTTAATGTCTATGCCAGAAGATTTGATACTAGGTCTGGGAGTTTAGGAACTTGCACAAGATTCTTTGGTGTTGATTCAGGAAGCTCTGAGTTTTGGTTCTCAGTGCTTCAGGATGGGTGGCTCGGTTGCTAGATGATTCAATTTCAACTTATCAAATACTGGTCTAAATGAGGGTAGGTTTCTTCATGAAGTGAGTCTTCAGTACAGAAGCATCAATGGTATTCAATGTGGAACTTAAACTGTCTCTACTGTGTGCTAGAGAGAGAGCTGAGTCTCCAGATACCATGCACATTATGCTCCTTTCTTCCTCTCTTCTCAGAGGAGAGAGATAAGAAGTACAGAGAAGCTCTGGCTGACTCCATAATCAAGGACTGGGACATTTTTCAACACTGAATCCTGGAGTTTAAGGTAGACCTTTGTTTATTGAGGTGTTCTTAGACTCTTTGGTCTGATTTGCCTGCCTTTTGCCTCTCAGGAACAGATGATGCTCTCATGAATCTATTAGGAAAAGCCTTAGGTGAGATTCTCTTGTTTTGGGGTCCTTTTCAAAAAATAGCCACACACAGAGTATTTGGGTGGTATATGTGATTCACTGAGGCAGAAGTGGCACCTAGAGTGTGTCACGGACGGCAACAGCTTCTGTGATTCACTCCTGTGATATGGCTATGATTCTACCATAGAATCTGGAAGTATATATGGGTATCCAGTGCCAAGGCAACTCTAGACTTGAAGACTTTTCCTGACAACAGACTAAAAACTATATAAACCTAACTAAATTATGTATAAGTAGAACAAACTAACCAGCAATAACAAAAATTGTGCAGTGGGCAGAGATGTGGTATTCAGTTTCCTCTAACACCCATGGTTGCAAGACAGGTGGGTAATTGTAGTTGCCATGCCTTTTGGACACTTGGGCTATAACTGGAAAATATGTGGGTAATCACTTGAGGGAAATAAGTTATGAACAATTTTTAAAAAGCATCATTTGAATGAAAAATTGAAAGTCAGCTGTAATTGCCGTGAGCTCAACTAATTTACTAAAATACTATAAGAATACATAACAAGTATCCAATTTAAGGCCCACTGAAAAGTCACTTGGGAGAGCTGCAGAATTCACACCAACCTCTCTTTCAGGACAAACTTAATACTTAGTATACTAACAAATGAATTTGTTTATGCCATTTGTACAGTGCCATCAGAGTGTATTTTACAGTTGAGTTTTAGCATACATGTTGTTAGTTCCAGGTTATATGACTGGTGTTATTTCTGGTAGAAAGACCGGTTTCATAAACCCTTCCATATAAAAAGGACTAGGAATTATAAAAAAATGCCTTTTGAAATAAGTATGGTTGGAAGACTGATTATGAGAATTATCAGAATAAATAGTCATGCTGTTCTATACGAGGACAACAGAAAAAGCAAAAAACAAACACAATCAACTTACTAAAAAAGTAAAAGATTATGGATACGAAGAGCTTTTTTGGTAACATACTGGTTTCACATTAATAAACCATATACTGGTTTCACATTAATAAAACATGTGGAAACTCAAAGTTTACCTGACCACGTTTATTGACTTAATTATCACTGTCATTAAACTGCCTGAAAGTGGAGGAAGGTCTGCAGTGGATTCTGGTGGTGCAAGTTCTTCTGCATTTGAAGCCTAAAAAGAAGATAGTTCAAATTCAAAATAAATACAGAATAAAATATTCTGCACATAAAATATTCA